TTCACAACACAGAGGATTAGACCGGTTTGATCCTGCAAGGACTCGGTTTTAGTTTGTTTGCATGGTATTTTAAGAGGGGACTGATTTTAAAAACTTGATCTTGAGGGCTGAAGAGAGACTTAGGCATCTGAACATCTGTCCTGCTTATTTCTTTTCAGTAAGACATGAGCTGTATATAGGTGGAAATGAACATTTAAATCACTGCAGGTTCAAGTTGTTGTGATACAAATCTGAAGGGTCGGGTAATGATTAATGAGATAGAAAGAAGAAAATTTCTGCCACACACGTTTTGGCGTTTTTCTTCTGAAAAGCCGCTTTTTTTCCGCACACAAAAAGATAAACATTCTTTAAACTTGATGCAACATTTCTGGGCCTGGATAGAAAACAGATTAAGATCCTTTTTATGAAACATTTATTATAAATGGCTGCATTTATATAGCACTTCTATCCAAAGCACCAGACACACATAAACCGTGCTGGCTTAACCACCGGGAGTAATTTGGGGCACTTTGTGCACAATGTTTTTCATGCATAATATATATCGGGCTGATAATCTTTGTTTACCTCCATTTTGTGAGACTTTATAGCATTTCTTTCTAATTTGGCAAATTCTTTTATCCAAAACAACTTACTTTTCTCCCCAAACACACACACAAGGACGCTTGGTCATTAGGGGCCGGGAATCAGACCACAAATCCCAGTATATGCATATGAATGGCTAACCTAATCAACCAATTGAGTCATTTCAACTCTTACATTTCAGAGAAATGCAACTGTACCTTGATTTAATGTTTGAATTTATGTATTTTTAGATTATGGATTATTATGGATGGACTACCTTTAACCCTTTCCTGTTCACAGTTCTGCTATTCCTGTCTGTCGGCCAGTGGAGCAGTGGCACTGGGGGTTTAAATTACTAGAGGGGCAAAAATTCACAACGGATGAGCTCAGTATTATGACTGTGCCGCTTTCCACTAGCCGTCCAGTTTGTACTCCTGGCTGGAAGTGTCTGTTATCACAATGGCACTGAAAGCCAACGGTATCTGAGCTTCCTCGTGGTCCCACAGGAAGCCCCTGTGTTGGCTCATAATAATATTCAGGCCACCGGCAGGCAGGGAGGGACACTTGTCGCCTTACAAGGAGAGGAACAAGTGTGTGAAGGCAGGAGGAGACACAGCAGAGGGACCACTTGACTCTATGTGAAGGCATGACAAAAACCTCTGTGCAAGTTTGGAATCTGTTTCACAAAAAAAGAAAAGTGTTGTTGTTTAATACGCTTTCATAATTCACCATTTTCAGTTTATGAAATAAATGGAAAAACGTTTGACATCACTATGAAATAGATTAAAAAGACTATATTGTATAAAAAGTTAGAACACTGTGCTCAATAAGGTTAAGTATGTATGATTAATGTATGTTGTTTTGTATGTACTGACTTTGCACGTTGTCCAAGACAAATTTCCCAGTGATGGGACTGAATAAAGTATAAAGTATAAAGTATAAAGTAAAAGTAAGTTAGAACTTAGACACTTAGAGTGAAAGACTAACAACATATGTCTTTGAAATCAGTCTTGTTCTTGTTTGATGCCATTTTTTTATGTTTAATTCAAAATTGTAACTCATTACAGCTACTAATGTCCAAGTCAGCTGCTTTGCTGTTGTCCATGCACACAGGGTTAATTTGAAATTAGAGACGATGTCCCACCAAAGTATGTCTGTCCTTCACCTACATCCACAGGTGCAAATCTGTACGTGAGTGTGTGCACATGCCTGTCTTTGTGGGAAAGACTGGACGTTCACACAGACGGCAGAGATTCTGAAGGAAAAAAATGTGACAGTGGGAGCTTTAATCTTTCACCACCACTGGCAGAGGCTTCAGTCCATCTCTCACTTTAGGTCCGAATAATAGATCTAGCTCATGCTTCCTTTGCAACATAATCTAGTACTCAGAACTTATTTGTTATTTTATCACTTACACTGTGATTAAAAACTAACATAATCAAGCACTGCCTGTGTGCAGGAAAGAAAGTGGAATAATAGTGATCAGTAATGGTGTGTCTAGCCTTGGTTAGCCGGATGCTTTTTGTCCATAAACATAAAAAAGCCACAATTATGAATAAATTATTAATTGTATTTTACAGTTGCCTTGGATCACTATTGTTGGACACAATCGGTGCAACATGTTCTGAATACAACCTGCAAATGTTCATCTGTAGTTTTTATTCTGTTGAACAAAACTGACATTCCCATATGAATTCAATGTAAAAACTACTTGTGTGTGTGTCCCTGTTGCAGTTCACACATACAGAATCAGCGTCAGACATGTGCCTGCTGTTACACAGACTGTTTCCTGGGTGATTTCTAAACAGCAGGCGCAGGCTCACTCTGAGGGCTCATCTGGGTAAATTTCCACCAGGACAAATCCCTCTAGCCAGTGAGCTGCCTTCAATAAGCCTTAAACACAGGCCAAAGAGCTAACAAACAGCAATAAAGCATCTAATGGGCCAAGAATAGCCATGGTTTCCTCTTTATAGAGAGGGTGTGCTGTTCAGAACTGTCATTCTGTTAGATTTAAATTTATTTTCCTGGTTTTACCTCTTGACAACATGACAAATGTGTTGGTTTCCAGCTTCATGTTAGTGCAAGTTAACAATGGCTGTACATCCTGGCTTTGGGTGCGACTTCAGTGTAACAGTTGATGTTTTCAGTTAATGCAGTTTAGGACATTTAGAGGTAGACCTTATCTGTTTGCACATACTAAACTGCACACAGACATGAGGGTGAAACAATCTCAGCCAGCAGGTCGAACCATCTCCGTGTGACTCATTCGTGTCAGATAGGTGCTGGTGAAAGGGAGGCAACACCTTTATTCCTTGAAAGTGTATTTACTTCTGCCAAGGTGTAGCGTTTATTCCCTTTGCTACTTAGTATGGCTCTCACCTTGATATTTAAAAAAACGTTGAACAGGTTTCCATGACATTTGGCGGACATGAGCCAAGACACAAGTGATTACATGTTAGTGTTGATTCAAATCTTGGATTTCTGCCATCAGATTTTCACACAAATTGAATGACATGTAGGTGTTTATGACATTGTGATGAATGTGCTTAAGTAAGAGTCAGGAACTGAGTGTCTGTTAAGGTGAAGGTAATATATCCACCCATCCGCCATCCCAACCTTCTTCCCTTTGATTGCACACCATTTAAATATTAAAAATTAAATATTCTATTGAGTAAAGTGTTCTCCTGTCATTTTTTGTGCTTAGGTTTAAGCAACACAGCCCATGACCATTAGAATACCATCCAAAATATATATATTTTGCAATTTGTAATTTGCTGCTTTAGAGGTACACATAAATTGAATTGCATAATAATAATGATGATAATAACAGTAATAACCTATGTTTAGCATCCTTCATACATAAAATATTTATGAAGAAATAATAATCCTGCAACTGATGGTGACCTCAAAGAGAAAACATTTTGACATTGTCACTGATCAGAATGAGGTGAAAAGATAATTTCATCAGCGATGAATACACTTTTACCGCCAACAGGGATTAACACATCTATTGTTAAATTGGGATTACATCTTGTGGATCACAGTTTAAAAGGTCAAATTGATTCATGATCTGAATCATTTTGACCTGTTCTCTATATATAATGTATATTGAGCTAAGAAGGGAAGCTATATGAAGATATTTCTGGTCATATGCTGTGTTATCTTTATCAACACATTAGGTAGTGGCAAAACAAATCAAAGCATGCAGGAGGAAAGTGTGTGCATGTGGGATGGTTGAGAGGCAGCAGAAGGAGCGTCGGGAGCTCAGAGGGAGGGAGTGTGAGAGAAAGCAGGCGTGTCCACTCGCTCACCACGCTCCGTGGGGATTAGCTATTTAAAGTGCAGTCGCTGCGCGCCACACAAACCCTTCATATACTGTCAACGAGGACGCGTCTGGGCGCACTGTTGAGGACGTGCAGGACCGGGCAGCGCCCCGAGGACACCCACCGAACCACGTTTTAATGAGGGAAGCGACAAGAGACCGCACATCAAGTGAGACAAGTCGTATTTCAGCTAGGAATTCATCAAGAATATCCATTTCCTACTGCCTGTCATCAAGCCCAACCTTACTTCACCAGGTAGGTAGACTAATGCCATTTAACCTAGGCCTATTTAAACCTCAAGTGAAAGTATATTTATAAGAGTGCTGCTTTCTGAATACAACCTGATTGTATAGCCTAGTTCAGGATTTCTAAAGCACTGCTGAGGGCCTCTTATCAAAACAGCTTAAGTGTATAAGGGTGCTTTTTTGTTTTGGAGCCGGACGTGTGTTCGTGGGAGGGCTCCTGATCATAAATAAGCCGTGCTGAGATCTGGCTACTGTCTGTTAGAGGAAACCACTTGTGGCATCACTGACTGGTCCGCGACTTGAGAGCAAGTTAAACCCTCAAATGTGCCACTTTCAACATTTTCTCCACATTTAAATGATCAGCAAGACCTAATGGACAATGTTCCCTCTCTGTTTGGCACTTCGGATATGTAAACACGCAGTTTAAGAGATAAGTGATGCTGTAGTGCTTCACATGAAAGCTCAGATTATCCTGTCTGGCATAGCGTCTCATTCAACCTTCCACCTGCACGCGCACAGAGGCGCGCGCATCTGAATGTAGTGTGTAAACTAAAGGCTGTTAATCAACCAAAACATGACAAAACTATAGCGGTGGAAGAAGAAATTACTTTCTTTACATTTCTTGGAGAGCTTTTATGTTTTAAATCTATATTTTATGTCAGCCTTCCTTTGAAGCAGAGTTAATTGTTATTTCAAAAAAACAACTTTCATGGACCATGAATCATAAAGGTGCACTCTTTATTACACAGAGGACAACAGTTATGTCTGTGTGTCAGGGTTTTATTAATGTGTACATTGGTGGCACACATTGGAAGATCCACTGAGATATTTAGGTTTAAACTGAGGCACACAATTAAAAAAGTGTTCAAATTAAACATGTTTTATGGGACTGTGTTGCAGCATTTTACTAAGAGGAGTGTACAAAGAGTAAAACCCTTGGGAATGATTTGCATTTTTTTAAGTGAACACTAAGCTTCAGTCTTCCTCACCGCCCCAATCAGGGTCAGTTAGTTGAAACTGTTCAGTCCAACTCTGCTTACATTTGCAGGTGTTTTAGGTGGCACGCCGTCCTGCCCTGACATTTGAAAATGATGATTGCCTGTTCAGAGAGCAGCTGTGCACACGTCCCTTGGATCAGGTTGTGGGTTGCCGGGTTGCCACGTTGCCAGGTTGTGGTGACAGATGGGCTAAAATTATATGTAGTTTGTGGATTGTGTTTCACAGACTGTCTGGCAACTTGAGTGACGTCAGACAAAACTTGGATCTGTGTATGACGATTATTCATAATAAAGTTTGAGGGCCATACAAATAACACGAGTTTCCTGAGAAAATCAACAAAGCTGGAGGGCGCCGGGAGACGGCCTTAAAATTTGTGAGATAAAAACAGGTGTGTTGCCAGGTATGGCAGAGAGTTTGACTGATGTTTGGAAATGGAGAATGTGCACAGGGGTCATGCTTGGTAAACACGTTTACAGTAAGTTGCTTAACTCTCCCACAAATGTTCCCGCAAACGTGCACAAACATGTACTCAAAATTATTAAAACCTCAAGCCAAAAGCCACAAGCTACTTTCGTGGCTTGTACAGTGCCACCGCTGACTGAACAAGTAAAACCGCATTATTCAGGTTTTGCACATGGCCCACATCAGCTGGCTGCAGGGTGGCGCCTTCAGTCTGAGGAAAGCATGAAGAGGAAAAGAACTCAAGGGAACAACTTCCTTCTCCTTTCTCACTTAGGTCTTCATTCTTTCCCCTTTCATCTTCATCTGCTCATCCCAATCCCATCCACCTAAATCTATGTCTTCTTCTAGCCCTCCTCTCTGTAGTCAATGTGGGTATTGTCTCTGTGCTTTCTGAGTATGTGTGTGCCATCTGAGGTTGTTTTTCTCCTCCAGGCTCCCAGGCTGCTGTGTGCTGCCAGATCCCCACAGCCAATCATAATCTGGGTCCAAAATTCCTCACCACTGACAATGGCCCTAATATTGTGTGTGTGGAACTGCTTTGCACACGTTTTTATTAAAAAAGAAAGTATGCTCGCTGAGTTATTAATACACAAAGGATTTATATTATAATGCAATAATAAAACTGGAAAAACATGCTCAGCCACTCCTGTACCTTTTCTCTTTCCTTCACAATGTGTGCTATAGGCTGTGAGTTCTCATTTCACAGGCAGAACCTCTGACTTATCCATAATGAATTCACTGTCTGTAAAAGTGATAAGGTTTCAAAGCCACACCTGAGTGAAAATGAGGAGGGAGGTGCATTAGATGGTTAAGAAATGGAGGAGAATAGGGAGCTTTTTCAGTGTGAATGTACCCCAAAAACGAGAGACTGTGAGTTTTTCACTTAGTGGACACAAGCCTCCCTTCAGACTTGTCTATACTACAGTAGCTCCGTGACACTGCATATGTGCAAGCTGTCACGTCTTCATGAAATTGCCTCACTGAGTCAAGCAGCATGAGGATCCTGCAGTAAACAGTGAAAAAAGATGTTAACCAAACACTGTTTGGCACACTCCTGTGTGTTGCAATCACAGTTTACTGTTTGACACCAGATATCCAAATCTTTCCATCTGTGATTAATGAACAATGGGGCTTAGCGCTTTATCACATGACTGGGTTTTCTCATCGCACTTTGACTTAGACGCTGACTCTCTCTGTGGTCATTTTGAATCTCTCTGTATTTGCATTTCTTTGTCTTTGTTTTTAGTCTCTTTGGGGCCGTATTGTGTCTTATTTTGCATCCCTTTCTAGTTGTTTTGTGTCTCTTTGTACTAATCATTTGGCCCTGCCCCTAGATGATGTGACACATTTTTTGTTTTAATCTCATTTATAAAAAAATAAAGGATTGTTTTCAATGAAAGACTTTGATACGATCTTGTTGAAGAAACACTGGTATGTGCTCTATACAAAATCATCCATCCCATCATGTTATCAACAATTTATTACCTCCTGTCATAACGTGACCCAAGAGCTATTTTTGTTTTGTTTGTTTTTTATGATGGAAGGACTCTACAAATGGTTCATGTAGTGTTTTGCCTTTGTTCACTTGGGACAAGAGTAATTGTTTATTAGGCTGTTTTTGTGGCTATTGATGTTCGATCATGTAAAAGTTATACATACAAGTTTAGGTAATTTGGAGCGGAAACATTAAAGCTACACAACTCCTCTTTTATCCCCACAGCACAAATATAATAGAAACTGTTGAGAACCATCACATCCCTCTGCTCCATTTCAGCTGACCTGTTTCTTAACCTGATTAGACTAAAATAAATACCTTTTTTCACTCTGAGTAAATACAGCTCTGGCATGCGGCCTTGGCTTTATCTTATCATTCAGAGGTGCCACAGAAAGAGGGACAGTCCTCAGGGCAATTATGAATTTGAGTGAATTGTAGCTCAGTGAACTAGAAAGTACCTGCAGAAGTTATGGGCGTATATTAAGGGCAGATCTATGTCTAAATGGAAACCACAATTGCTGGTAAAACAATAGCTTTTCAGTTGAGGTATGCACGTGTCTGCCTGTTAGTCATAATTTGCTTACATCAGATGACCTCTATGTAAATCGGTTTGGTTGTCAGAAGAGGGCTTAACAATTTTTTGGCTGCCGTAGCCCGTTGACGTCCTGTCCTAGGATTAGGCAGTGTGCGGGATGACGATGATGGCACGGTACATACTGACAGATTGGTTTGTTGCTGGGACAATGTGCCGTTCAGTGATATTGTCAGCTTACATTAGGCTATCATGTCAGTGAAGTGCATGATCATAATTCCATTAAACTGTGACCTGGTGATGAGACAAGGAGCTGTCAGCGGGCCTGGGCACTCAGACCTGCTGTCAGTGTGAGAAGGCAGCTTAAATGGACCCTACAGGAGAAGTGAGCAACCTGGGGAACTTTGTATTATGCGTTTAACGCACTTCATATTTGAGAGAGTTTGTCACTGTTGCAGTTTGGGATAGCTTTACCTCCGTTTTGTCCCCATGCATTAAAAGGTCTATCATTTTGGGGGGGTGTTTTTTTCCATATTTATGTCTTGTTCACTCTGCTGTCTCTATAGACGTCTCCGCCATGGGTGTGAAGATGCTGCAGTGTTTTCCTTTCTATAGACGTTGTAAAGAACGCTGCAAGAGCAGACAGATTCCCCAGCAGCAGGTGAGGACTGTTAAAGAAATCAAACGTAGACCAAACAAAAAGATAAATAAAATGTAATTTCATGATAGTATGGCCTGACAACAACTGACTTTCTATCCCTGGCTTTTACCCCTCAGTTCCCATTGAGGAGTCGAAGCCCCGTCTGTCCTCCACTGCATCATGGGGTAGCGACAGCGAAGGAGCAGGAGGCCTGAGTCGCGGCTCCCAGATATATTTCTCCACCAAGGCCAGGCTGTCTTTTAGACACCAGCTGGACAGCAACATCAACGCAGTGGACGCCACCTACTGAGGAGGACAGAGGGCTGCAGAGGAGATAAATGGACTCCAGTGTCAAAGTTTTCCGTCTCTCATTGATGCTTGAAGGCCGTGGTGCAGACCCGGGAGCCTGATAGCTGAGCAAACGCATCTCCCGTCACCTATTAGATGTGATCAACAGTAGTTGTGCACAGCTCACGTATTAAGCCCACAAAGAAGTCTCAATGACTAATCAGATTCAACAACGGACAGGGGAAAACAGACTGAAGCAGACTTGGTTTTTTTTAAGATGACAGAACTCTAAACAGAGGGGATCCACTGCACAGACGGACGTGATACTGATGAGAAGACAACAGAGAGACTTGTTTACAGCATTCATCACCAAAACGTGCATTACTTTTTTCTTTTAAACTACATTTGTGGGAAAAACTGCTGATTTTTTATGTCATTTAATAATAATAATAGTGATGATGATGATGGCCCATGTGAAATAGCACTTGTTTCGCAAAGCAGGATGAGGCAGTTAACCTTCAAAATAAAATGACAAATCTCTCTGTCTAAACCTCATCATTAGCAGTCAACATAATTAGTGACTGAATCATGTTTCTAAACCTACTGTTGACATTTCATTTCATAACCAGGACTGAGTTTACTTTCTAATCCTGCTCTGTGACTAAACCACAGTACACTGACTAAAACACTGCAAAACAGAAGTTTCATAGAAAGGCACTAACCCTAATCCTAGAATAAATGCAAAGGGGTCATGTTGACACTGTAGAATATTTGCAGACCAAGTTTGAGGACGCTGAGCAGCTGTTTGTGTTTTTTTGCCTCTAGTTAGTTCCTCTTTGGAAAGCATTAAGTAAACTGAGCTGCACAGGCATTTTGTCATGTTTGGCTCCTGCTCACTCTGGCTAATTTCTTCTCTTTAATACTTTTATATTAAAAAGAAAAAAATAAAACTCCTGGCTGCATTGTCCGATATTAAAATGTATGTTTTTTTTTTTTTTTTTTTTTTAAACAGAGCCTACTTGCAGATCTTTAGGGTGGACAGGGTTGTGTGTTTGCCTAAAATGAACAGATTTGAATGCATGCTCAGATCCCAAATGAATGACTGTGAAAAACCTGCTGAGATTTTAAACGTCAACGCTTGTCCTTTTGATGCAAAATAATAATCAGCTATTCAAACCTACAGCATGTCAAAAGACAAGTAACAAAATAACAAAACATTTACATGGAAAATGTCTCCAGTGTTTTTGTTGACGGTGAATGTGAAGTTTTACTGTGTTAAATAGGGGGATCACATACAGTGACGTGCAGAGATGATGAAAACACTGCTCCAAAAGTAATTCCCATTAGTTCTTCACATGGTTTTAATCATTCTTAACCAAAATACAGACAATGCATCTTGTTAACAACATTTATTTAAGAAATTAGTTCACTGGTATAAAAAACGGAAACGAAAACAGTCTTTGACAAACTTCTCCAAACCTGTGACCACTCCTAAAGTCATCACTGCATGTTTTTGGGTTTGGAGATGACGCCATCTGGATAACGCTTCTTAAACCGCGCCACAACTTCAGGATCCAAGAGATGAATGCCATCGAGCTGGTTTCCAAGAGTTACCCTGGGACAAAAAAAGCTCAATCAATATGTGTAAAATTCAGAACAGTTACTTTGTCTGTAACTTAAAGCGTGATCGTTGTGGGTTGTTACGGCCACAACTGAATTTAACTCCACAGTGACCGAGGACACCATACCCCGAGGAATGTTTATAAGCAAATTAATTTACCAGTTGGGCTGGACGTTGTGGGGTCGACCGAAAAGCTCAATCTTCCTGGTGCCGGGCGAGAGTCTCTCTATCATGCCGTAGATCTCATCTGGTTTGTGACTGGTGGAACGGACCTGGAAGTGTGTGTTTGAAAAACAGTAGAGTCTGTTTCATATTACAGAAGTGACCTTTTTAGGCAGTGGAACGTATACAGGGGTTAATACAACAAAGTATGACAGAAGATATAGTCATTTACCTCTGCCACAATGACGTCACAGTCCAAACCTCTGTTGAACCCCTGAGGGTTTCCCTTCACACCAACCTAAAGAGAAACAAATCACATAGTATGTTTCACATTTTCCCTCAAACTTCGAGCTCAGCAGGTTCATCCAAGCAGTATGTGACAGAGACATATTAAAATATATACTGTAAGATGGTATATAAAAACCGAGGCAAGCAAACCCACCAGACAGTGCTCCTTCCCGTGGTTCAGCCAATGGCCTGTCCTTCCCGTCCGGATGATTCTCTGAAGCTGGTTGGTTTTCACCCAAATGATTTCATCGACACGGTCGTAGCTGAGAGGGGAAAGTAAAGCAGGAAAGTAAAATAAAAAAAATTAACTAGGAAAATATATAAGAAATAAATAAATGTATAAGAAATAAAATCAGATGGTGTTCTAACAAAATGATGCTTTGATGGTATTTCAGAAGAAGACTTACCCCCAGAGACTGAGACACTCTCTGCCCAGCTCCATAGCCCTGTAAGAATAGAAGATGGGCAGATGATGAGTTTGAGTATTTCTAAATATGATAAATCCCACTAATGGTTAATTTGACTGGGCATGCTTTAACTTTTATGTGTGTGTGTGTGTGTGTGTGTTGGGGGGGTAAAATGGGAACAGCGTACAGCTTTTACAGAGAGAATACTGTACAGAAAACAGACAATAAATACTAGTATACACAGCGGGACATTTTGTAGTTTATATAGTAGAGGTAAAAATGTTTGTTTTGGCTTGTCGCTGAAAAAGTTAAGTCAAGCGACAGGTTCTGTTTGTGTTTAGTTCACGGACATCTTGACATCGTAGGACACCAAGTCGTGGATGGATGCGTGGTTGCTGACCACCGACTGTATAAAAAAAGTGGACATAGTTGGCGTGACGTCACCCATTGGTTTGTGGACTACCATTTTGACGAGTTTGGCATTTTGGCCGTTGCCATCTTGGTTTTCTGGAACCAGATGTGGCCATATTTTAGCTGAGGACATAAACTCATTACGAAAGTGTTTACTGAGAAAATAAATCAAGTGGGAAATAGAGTAATTTTCTCATAGACTTCTTTACAATCTTCACCTATTTCTGCAATCAGTGGAGTCGCCCCCTTACAGCCATTTCAAATAATACATGTACTTCCACACACTGCCTTCACTTTTCAGACCTCGACATTCGTGCTTGCTGTTGACCTCTTAAAACCGAATACTGCCCTGATGATGAAGAAGTAGGCCTCTTCTTGACACTGTTTGGATTGTTGTAGTTACCTGCCGGTGACCCACAGGAAGAGGAAGCCGTCATCTTGCAGGATAGGGATGTTGAGTTTTCTCATCTCGTCGTCAGTCAGTGTACCGTAGGGTAGCTCCATGTGGATGTCCCACGGAGGGTCGGCCATCACTACCGCAAACTTACCGAGGATGGATACGTCCAGGTAGCGGATATCACAGCAGATCCACTGCAAAGAAAAACACCCTCTTTAGATTTTAAAACCCACCATAGAACATCAACATCCATCTGCCTCTCGCTCTGCTACCCCATCTTCTTTCCTCACACCTCCACCTCTCTTCCTCACCTGTGAAGGGAACAGTTTCCCCACGTTGCTGTCAGCATCCCCCGAATGGAGTCCAAGCTCTGTGGTACCGGCCTGCGGCCCCATCAGGCCCCCCTCGGCCTCTGGAGGGCTGTCGATCTCATAGTGGACGTATTTGCAGGTGTCCATGTGGAAACACGTGTTGAGAAAGGAGCAGTCGCCGAGGCTCTCGTCTGTGTGCTTGTTGATGATGCGACTGAATGAGAAAATATAATACAGCATCATAAACATGTGTAATGTAATTGTATTTTAACAGTTTCAGGTTTGAATAAAAACTAACTAAGCCAAACCACTTAACATTTTCTATTTTATCACAAGAGTTAAAATACAAGGGCAAATATAATAACCCTGCACACATTTCAGGCAAGTTTATTAAACCAGAGACACCCTCTATCCTTAGACAAGTGTTTCCCAACCTTTTTGTGACCCTACCTTAAAATGAAGTTTGTGACCTCTTCTGTTAGGTTGATTACCAATTTTTCAAAGGCTGAAGGGATAAAATAATCCAATATCATCCTATTGTAAGAAGTATTAAAAAGAAACTACATTTTATGTTGCAGAATATGTTTTTGATTCTTGCATACCTCATTATTCATCTTATGACCCCTAAGATTTATTGCAAGACCTCTATGGGGGCTCTCAAACTACCAGGTAGGGTCTACATTAACCACTACTGTAGACCATCATTTCAGATGAGGAGAAACTCCACAAATAATTTATTTTGAGACAAAACAAGAGCATCTTTCTTTTCCATTTGTTTGAAATGAAACTGATAATACTGCAGTAAGGCCTTTCTAAGTTTGAAATGTGGACCTTTATTTACATTATTAGCATTTGTAGCATTAGTAGTGTTTTTAAACCTTGATTATAGTGACCTCTGCAGGCCAAAGGGAGTTAAAAAATAAATATTTATATTTTCGGGGCAATTGTGCTTTCATTGGATGGGTGATAGTAGGGAGATGACAGGAAATGAGGAGGAAGACAGATGGGGAATGACATGCAACAATGTTCCCCCCCGTGAATGCAAATCAGGGGCACTGCAGTCCACGGTCTGTGCAATCACCCCTAAGCCACCAGGGTGCCCCGGTGTCATCAGATCTGACCTGTGCAGTCAGATTTCTGCTGTGAAATTTTTTTGTTTACACAAATACAGACAAGAAAAGTTTTTAAACCATGCTGACCGGAAGTGTAACTTGGTGCACGGCTGAGGTGTGTCCCCAGAGCGTACACAGTCCTCTTTGGTCCCGTGGTCGCAAAACTCTTGGACCTGAGCTCGGCCGCGAGACCGGAACTTTTCCACAATGGACTGCTCCTTGGCTGTGCTGGCATTGAGCAGCTCCAGAATTTCTCTGCTCACCTAGAGCGTAAATAACATTCACACCATCAGTAATCAAACATCGGATCTTTGCCGTTTCACATTTGTTCTGTGAGAGACGATAGAAGATATTGGTCATCAGCACCCTCATCCTTCTTACCTTCTTGCTCTGTTGCTCTTTGGTGGACTGTTGGTTCAGGAGGCTCTCTATCTCCATGTCCAAATGAGACGAAGGGCCTTTACTGCTCCTGCTCCCGCTCCCTGATGCCGAAGGCCCGGCCAGCTGCGAGGAGGAAGCCGCAGGTGTCAGAGAGGTGAAGGAAGTGTGCGGAGGAGAGGCAGAGCTCTGAAGTGAGGGCGGGAAGCCCGGAGTTCTTTTGTGTTGAGTTTGATCTTCCGCTTTTCTCTTTACTCCAGTCCGTTGGGCTCCAGCCCCAGAACCGATCATAGCCCACAGTTTTGTGTGGTCCACTGCCACCACGACTGAGGAGGAGGAATTGGCAGAGGAGGAGGCTGAGGTGGGCTGCCTGACCTCGATAAGCTCCTGAGCAGAGAATTTTAGCAGCAGACTCTGGATGCATCCATGAGTGACGGCTGTTTCAGACTGTGAGCGAGATTCAAACAGAGGAGACAGAATTTAAAAAGTAAAAATACAAAGTTGTAAATATGACCCAGCCGAGCTCAACGGAACATATTTGATTTTCCTTCTATAAAACTATTTACCACAAGCATTTCTGTGCTTAAGACAAAATACTCACACTGTTGAGATCGTTTGTGATGGCAAGGGAGTCCATTGGCATGGGAAGGCTCAGATCAGACAGATAGGCCAGCAGCCTCTTCTCTAGTTCTGGGTCTGGTGGTTTTTCCGTCTCTTCCTGAGGGGGGAACGGCGCTGACGGAGCTGGGCTGTCACTCCTGGCCATGGATCCCTCTGTACTGCTTCCACCGTCTGACGAGAGGAGACAACAGTGGTTAACTCCCTCATTTTGAAAAAGGTTTTTAATGTTAAAAAATTCTTCCAGGTAATTTTGATCTTGATTTTGGCATTTGACACTGGCACACACGCTGGTGTCACGTTTCAGTCTCCCTGCATTAATGTCAAAGCACATGCAGATTATTAGATCATTGAACAGAAATGTTCCTTAAATATAAAGGACTTTCTGCTTTTATCTGATTAATACAAAGTTGACCATGTTTGATGGACAAAAACAATTTGCATGGAAGACATTATCTGGACTCTGATCAGGGTTTTCCACCATTTTATGCACAAAATGGTTAACCAAACAATCAGAAAAATTATCGAAAGGTGTGAATAATTTCTAGTTGCAGTTACAGTGTACTGGTTCTGACTTCTCAAATGTTTCAGCAAATTAATAATTGCTTTTTATAGTTTTGTTTGTTCTCTGTGATAGTATTGTGAATATATATTTCGGTATCTGCACTGGGTTCCACCAGCTATGTGTAAGTTCTCTCCTAAATTATCTAGTAGTTTTATTAGGGCGTAAAGCCTCTAGTGTCGGCTTTACGCCCTAATAAAACTACTAGAGTGAGTTTGTAACTAAATCAGCTGCTAAAATCTGGCTGGCATGGGGCAAGTGTAACTATTTAGTTGTTATGTAGAGTTATGCTGTAACTTATCTCAGTTGTGTAGCCATTTTAGAAATGCATAAATCACAGCTTAGTATTAATGTATTTTATAAATAGGTTATGTTTGAACTTACACACAGCTGGTGGAACAGGCTGATTAGTCAAACAAAACAACCAATTTGAAGAAGATGAACTTGGGCTCTGGGAAATTATGATGGCATGGGACTTATTTCCTTACATTTTACATCTACTACAACAATAGAATTAAAGTAATTAGTTTTACAGCCTTGCCACTACAAATTCTAACTATCAAATAGCAAGAACACGTTGGAAGTTTCCTAGTTAACCAAACTATCAACTTATCTTAATTTTATCAAACATAACTTGGAACCGTGACAGTAGCCACTTATAATATTATATAATATTTATGAGCCATTCATCAGTTGCCAACTAATCATTTAACCATTTGGCAATAATAAAGTTTGACAGCTGACAGATTGCTGTTTTGTTTAGTTAAAAATCTCAACCCTTGCTGGTAAAAGCAGAACATTTAACTGACATGTGTTTTCATTCTTGACACCGTATGGACTCAATAATTAACAGATTAATTGGATGAATACTCCATAACATACATAACAACAATAACAATGGCTGGTGCCCGCTCTTACCCGCGGACAGCTGTGCGGGGTCTTTCCGCCGCCGCTGCAGCCTCTCCCGCAGAGAGTCCAGCTGCTTCTTGTGCGCCTGGATGTTGCTCCATGTGTCCGACATGACGAGGTGGATTCAACAACAGCACCGACACCGGTTCACACTAAACAGTATTTAGACAAAAGTTGAAGTCTTTCCGCCTTGTTAGGAGCAACGAATGTATGGTACACATCAGAAAAAGTGCCGGGCAAGCATCGTGGTTAAGGATTGAAAGTTCCGGCTGACTAGTGCTTTGTAAACGAAGGATACTGGCTGGTTGTGTTATCTGAAATAAATAGTAAAGTATCCTACTTTGATTAGATTGTTCTGAAAGCTGTATTTTAGGAACGAAAGCTACGGAATAAAAGTATCTCTGGAGTCTGGTAAATGGTAAAAAGCTTGTTTAACTGATACATTTTTGGGTACGGACACTTCCGGCGACACTGAAATTAAAAGCCTGTTTCCTGTGTGCTTAAATTAATTGCCGTAGTGCCGTCTCAGAAAATAAATAACTCCTTTCTACCACAATAGTAACATTAAATTAGATTAAATACTCATTTTTGTAACGTGGTGCATTTATCTCCTCTCCAGCGGCTCCTCTTCCAGCTACCAATCTGTTGCTGCTCTGAGCAAAGATGGCGGAGGACGAGAAGAGTGGTGAGCCAGTGAAAGACAAGAACGAACTGCAAATTATGAAGGTACTTATTCTCATTTACACCACACGCATATTTAGTGTGTGAGACTTCGTGTTTTGTTGTCTCCTCGTGAGGTTAGTGTCGTGTTTCGTCTTAGTTTGGTCTCTGGGCATCTCCTGAAAGACTCGTTACTATAACAACTGTCAGGCTAACACAGACCTCTCTTTGTGTTCAGCCTTAATGTCTCGTATAGTGTGACATATTTGTGTGCCACCTCTCTTGTTTTATGTGTAGAATAGCCTCGTTCTTTTGCATTTTGCCACTCTAGACTGCCTAATTACAGAGTGACTTTAAATATGCATGCTTTGTGTCCTACATCTTGCTGAGTCACCAGATTGTCATTTCGCCTGCAGACCTGTTAAAGCACCAAGCATGAGCACAAGTGATGCTCTCTGAAGCAAATATGTTGTTTTTTTTC